ATATATATATATTTTTTTTTTTTTTTTTTCTATCATTTCAGGGAACCCTTGGGAAGAGGTAGATATATATGTTTAGCAGTCTACTACCTTAAAATGAAAATTCCTGAGGTTATTTTCGTAAAATCCTAATTCCATAATATTTACTATCTCTGCCCCACTGGTCACATTCATAAATGTATTTGGACATATAATTTGTCTGGTAATCAGCAGAGGACTCTTTCTGAAGGATTTTCTGTTGTTCAGTTGAGGCTGGATTCTGAATGCAAAGAGATAATGCTGCAGATATGCCACTGCAAGAATCAGATTAGCTTTTGAGAATTCTAAGAGTTCAACTCTAGTTTACATTTTTATTTCAGAAGAGATTGGCTTGAAGACATGCCACTACAAAACACAGCTACTACTTCCAACCATATAACGAATTTTCTAGTTTTTGTAAAATAAAATGATTTCACTCACTGTTTGTGCACGTGGCACTAGATTCCCAGTGTTCAACAGTCCTGTAGTGACCAGAGGTGAGCAATGGGCTGAGGGCTAAATACTTTGTCACTGGCACCAGGAAGTCTTTAGCACTAATGCCAATTTTGTATGTCCTATTCTTTGTATTTTTCCAACTAAGATACCCTAAAATCATGCTTAATGAAACTTTTGAAGGGAGCCAACTTTTTTGTATTTATTAGTTTTAAAATTCTGCCCATCTCCCTCCCTTCCCCTTCAGTATTTCTTTTCTTCTTTACTTTGTTTAGGATATAATTTTGTGAGTTTTATTTTAAAAGCAGATTGTTATTGAATAATCACAATTATGACCTATGAAATATCATTGGTTTTCATAGCTAAGCTCCTTCTACCCTACTAACTTATTCATTTTGAGTATGTTTTTCTTCAAATTTGAGCAGTTCTTATTTCAACTTAAGTTTTCATTTATTTAAAAAAATAAGTCAAAATAGCTAAAATGCTTTTTACATTTTTTTTCCTTGATCAGTTAGCATAAAACAGTTCCCAGCCTTGAAACAGAGTAGCAGTGTGGAAAATATACAAAAATATAAACAATTTTAAAAGTTGAGCTTTTGCTGTAAATGTTATTTAGGTTTCAAGTCTAGACTACAAAACTTACTTAATCCATCATAATGACTTGAATTCTGGATCTTGGATAAAAGATACCAGTTAGCAGGATATGGAGGGTCTGATTTACCTCTCCGGACTATGGAGCCACATTGGATTCTTTCTTCTTCTCTTTGCCCCTTTTCCTCAAAGTCATCCCTGTGCCACTGAAGCTGCATGTGTCTCCCTCACCACAGTCCCAGGCATTCAGTGCTATTTGCCAAGAGTGCGGATGAGGTGGACATGGAGAAGGGATTTGCTAGCTCTGACTAATTAAATTAATTAACCAGTGTCTGTGAACAGTTGACATTCCTTGGCCTTCCCAGTGGTGTTTTTCACTTTTTAAAAATGATGTGTATTAAAACAAATATGTAGTTCTACTTATAATTGGTGGAATTTCTGGAAGTATAGCAAAGTAGGGGGTGGGAATCAAAATGATAGATAGGGGGAGGTTAGAAAGTGGTGGATGGCAGCCACATCTTAGCTTCTGTCCCTACATAAGTGTTCTCTACATACTTGAATAAGTATGAAGTGACCACTTCATTCAGCTTTTATTCTTGTACTCCATATATAAAAGCTGGATTCTCTGTAGGTTGTCTTGTTTTGGTCTGTTTACTGGGCAGGTAGGTAATAGTGACTATATAGAGTTAGGAGCCTGGCAGGGCATATATAATTTATTTATTAAGGGAGGAATCCCTGTGTTATCTTTTTACATAAAGTTTCCCCTCATATTAATGCATGTTCATTAAAGTCTAAGGATAGAGAGATCACGCATGCCACCATCCAAAGAAAACCACTGTGGAGACATTTTAAGAAAATAAATTATAGAGAATTAATCATAAAAGTATGTTGATATATGTACTTAAATCAGTTTCAGTGCTCTCATGTTTGAATTAATATTGCCAAATCAGTGCCAGCTGTTTTAGTTCATGAGAGTTGTAAATAGTTCCTATGGAAACCATGTCACTAAGGTCTGTGGCAGCCTTGCTCAGTCAGATAGCCAGTCTGAGCACACCTTCCAGATGGCTTGCCCAAGGGAAGCGTGTTCTTCCTCAGCAGGATCATTTTGTTTTGTTTTGTTTTTTAAACCAATTCCCACCAAGACGCTGAGGAAGAGGAAATGGGTACAGATTTGTTAGGAGAGATGGAAAGGGGGCAGTGACGTGGTCTTCATGGGGCTTTGGCAACCTAAGGCCACCCAGTTTCTGAAAAATATGAAAGATTTTTTTTCATCTACTAAATTATTTATTTCTTATTTGATATGTCAACTGAAGAGAACATCTTACATTAAATTATACCTCAGTACTCTAATAGAATAAAATAATGGTGCAGCATAGCCTTTTCTTAATTGTTTATTCTCTGTAGATTATATCCAGGTTCTTGTTAATTGAATTCATTCAGTTCAGAAATACAGTATTTGATATCATCTGATCCAGGCTGTACCATCTAGTTTTCCTGCTCTTGATCCCTCAGCATGTTCCAGTGTCACCCTTGGTCATGGTGGGCAGGACCTGCCTAACCCTGGTCCACTCCAGACCTCTTGCCTGGCCTGACCAGTCTTCTGATTGAATTATTGCTTGTTGTGGCATTTCCCATGTCATGCTTCTCCCAGGAGTTATCTACTTACTATTTATTCCTCATCCTTCTTTTGATAATGTCACAGTAAAGAATTCATTTAATTTTTTTTAACTGTCTTCTTTTTCTGTTGATTGTGTAACATTTCTTGAAGGATAATCTGTCTCCTTCATTGATTTTCTTAATGCCTTTTAATTATTTCTTACTTTTAAAAGTACACAGCAGTTAATGTTTTGTAATTCATGCTGTCATCACAGATGCTTTATTCTTTTGATTGCTCAGATATCTGTGGGTGTGAATCCTAGATCACAGGTGATGCTAGGTTTGGAGAAGCATCAATAAGTTGAAGCTAGATGTCTGAAGAGCACGGTTGCCAATGGAAGCAATATCTTTGGGTTAATTTTAAATCTCACGTCATTATATAATAGAGAACTGGTCATGATGCTAATGTAGAAGGGAAACAACAGCCAGGTTTTAGATTTTCTATATTTTCATGGAAACACGTTACATTTCTCAGTATTGATCCTTCTATATGTGGAGTCAGCAGCATAAGGTTACAATCAGTTATCATCAATCATTTAATCAATATTTGTGGTTATCATGTCATGAAAGAAATTGCACCAGACACTAAGGGGAGGCGGAGGGTTTAAGGCACCTTGTATCGAAGACACAAGAACATTGACTGAAGCTCATCCTGTGCTGCAGCACCGAGGGATATTGTTGGGCAGAGAATGGATCAGCTTGACAAATAGTGCACATTGAAATACATTGTTAAGGCTCAGGTAGAAAAAAAAATTGTGGAAGACTTTGGAATAAACTTTATTTTTCTATAAAACATTGAGGGTGGCCTAGGATATCAATTTATGGTAAAAATTAATTTTAAAAGAATAAATCAAAATACATCAATCATAAGAGAATGGACTACAGTGGGGTGGACTAAATATAACTGATTAGTCTTTGATACTTCACAAGTCAATACTTAAAAAGTACCTAAGGTTAATGAAAAGAATCCCATACTGGGTAGGTTCCAATTTGTTTCCTTGCACACATGAGTGAGTGTTAGCATATCAACATATGCTCTTTCTTGTTTTCAGCATGCACTCCTGGCTTTAAAGTTTATACTTGCATTTGCCATACCTGATAAACCACGACATATCCAGATGAAACTGGCCAGATTGGAATTTGAGTCCTTGGAGGCACTCAAGCAGCAGGTAAGAGCAACTGTCCTGAAAAAAATGCCCAGCATTTCTTCAGCAAATGAGAGGAAGCATAATTCATGGGAGTCAAACGTTTTCTCTTGCATTGAATTACCAACTTAAATAAATCCAGAGGACTCCAGTTTAAGATGGCATAGCCAAACCAAAATCCTAATAACGTGAGCAACAAATAGGTTTGAAGGAGTAAACTAAGCATATGAAAAGATTCAAGCAATGTTAAATAAAGATTAGAACTAGCATTCAACCAAAGTACAGACAGAGAATTCAGAGAATCGCCCTGGGGCTGCTCCCTATAGTTTCTAATTCTGCTCTATAGAGAAATCTTAGGGAAGGAGAAGTGAGTAAATAGAATCCTGAATAATATCCTGCGGAGAATGAGAAAGAATGAAAATGTGTGGGTAGAAGCAGCAAAAATTGCCATGAAAGGAGGAACTGCTTTTCCATTTTTTCCACATTCCACCAGATAACAGAGAGAGAACCAAAAAGCAGCCATGCTGGAGCTCACATTTGGGTGACTTTTCTGCTTGTAATAAGGAGACAGAAAATTCCTGGATGCCCAGAGCTAGTTATTATCTCTGGTAAGACATCGGGATTTAAGTACCAGAATCTATAAGGCAGTATCTTCTAAGGAGACGAGCTCTACATCTAGGACATCTTGGACAACAGTCTCGTCAGCCTTTTACCACTTTGCACAGGATTTTTTGTTTTGTTTTGTATGTTTGGAGAATTGAATGGGGAAAATATATAAAGAGGACCCGCACTAGCTGTCCCTCTTACAGAAGCAAGGAGGTCAAAGATAGCACAATAGACAGGGGATTCCCACGTTAAAGTACTATATATCCCTGATTAGGTGGGGTCTCCCCAGAAGAGGGAGAGCCTGGCCCTGGACAGAGCTGTGCTCACGTTGATCACATAACAGAGGAGAAGATCAAGGGAACTGTGCTCCTGAGTCTTAGGCAAGGTCACTTTTGGCACATGGGCTAGCCAGTGTGTTCACATCTTAAACCAAAACCCAGCATCATGCTCCATGGTGGAACCTGAAGCATTCACAGTCTTGGCAGGAGGCACGTTTTCTCCACTGGTACTCAGCCTTGTTCTGGAGATGCTTACCACGGCAGCAGAGGAGAGGAAGAACTAAGAAACCCAGAAGTAACCTGAACTAGGCAAGTTCGTCATTACTAGAAAACTAGAAGATTATGTATCTAAAGGTCACAAGATAAAGTATTTAAAATAATAGGAAAATTTGGTAAGGAAGCAGGTTATAAAGTTTATATAAACTCATTTGTTTCCATTCATAAGAAATAATAACCAGTTAAACATATTATCAAAGGAAAATTCTCATTTACAAAAGAAACCAAACATAAAACCTTTAGGTGATAATTTATGAACATAATGACCTAAATTAAGAATATTTTTAGTGCTGGGCTTGTGGCTCGGTGGTAGAGCTCTTGCCTAGTGTGTATGAAGCCCTGGGTTTGATTCTCAGCACCACATATAAATAAATAAAATAAAGATCCATTGACAACTAAAAAATATTTTTTAAAAAGAATATTTTTAAAACTCTCCTGAGATTTAAAAAAAAATTCAATCCTGTGAAAATGAAATGACAGGCCAGGAGCAATGGCTCTCAACCACCTCCCAGCAATTCAGGAAGCTGAGAAGGAGTATTGCAAGTTTAAGGTGAGCCTGGGCAGCTTGTGAGACCCTGTCTTAAAAATACATACATATATAAATAAGTAAATTTAAAAAATAAATGCAGTCCCAATTCAAATATGTAGAAATAAACATTTGAAAACAGCAAGAATACTTCCAAAAATGAAGAAAAAGTCCCAAGCTCTGTCAAATAGTAAAGCATTATGAATAATACAGTAATCATAATAATTAAATACATTTTTAATACGGGTGTAAATGAACAGATCAATAAAATAGAGCAGAATTCCTAAATGGGCCCAAATAAAACTGGGAATTTAGTTGATATTAAAAGTGACAAATATGTTAGTGGAAAAAAGAAGATATTATGTGGTTTGAGACAAAGAGCTGTTTTGGAAAATCACTGCATTTTATTTGTTTTATTACTTATGAATCCCCTTCCTCCAGCCTCAGATACAGATGGTTGAAGGATTCAAATAGAAAAACTTGAACCATAAAAAGTATATTAAAAAGCCTGGGGATATCTTCCAATGGGAGGTGCTTTCCTAATTAGAACCCCAAACCCAAATCTTAAAGGACAATTTAAAGCTTCTATATGACCAAAAAAAAAAAAAAAATGAACTCAAAGGAATTGGGCAAACTGGGAAAATATCTGCATATGTCACAAAGGATTACTATCTTTAGTTCAAAAAAAGTCTCTACAAACCGAATCTGGTAATTAAAGGGTAAAGAATGAAGAAATGCTTAACCTCATACAAAATTAAAGAAATGTAAATTCACACACCAGTGAAATGCCACATTCTGTTCTATTAGGAAATGTTGTTGATAACCCACTGTCATTGGATATGAGAAATGGACATTCTTTTATGTACTGTTGGCAGAGGTGTAAATTGCTTCAGCCTTTCTCGAATGCAGTTGAATCACGATTTGAATTATTCTGCAACACAGAAATGATTCTTGCTAAGGTTATGGCTGTATCTGCAGTGTATCAAAATATAGTTGCAGAGACATTTTTACTAGCAGAAATCTGGAGACAACAAATTCTTCTAATTAAATAAATGATGGTATATTCATATAATAAAATCATGATCCTATCTTAAAAGAAATTTGTGCTGGTGTGTGTATGTGTATTTGTACATGCATGCATGCACACACACACACATATGCACTGGCTGTAAGTAGAAAAAAACAAGACACAGAAATACAATCGCCTTTGAGTCAAATTACAAAAGGAAAAAGGGAAGCAAAGAAAAAGGAATGACTACTGATAGGTGCATTTGTTTATCTTGGAAGATCTCACAGCAAACTCCATATCCTTTGAGGAGAGTGATTAGATTTTCCTTTCCATATACAGTTTGAATTTTCTGACTATGTATGTCTTACTTTTTTGAAGTCAAAAGTAATTCTCGGGAGGGGGGGGTCTTATTTGCCATTTGTTATCAGTACACTTTTTGGCACTTAAAAGGTTAATGTAAGTAAATAGGGAATGATCCTCATGTTGATGATTTAAGCCATTTTTTGGACACATGTGGGCACATGTGAGCACATCCTCCACTTTCCCTTCTCTTTCCTCCTCTATTCCCTGCCCCCACACTCATCGTAAGCCCTTTTTCCCCCTTAGAAAAAGTACACATCAGGTGAAATAGAATAAACTTTATTTTAACATCAAATAAATTTTTTGCATTAAGTTTGTGGCTATGAATCAAGTATGGAGACCAAGTAGCAATATGAGGCAAATGAGGTTTGTTTGTAAATTCCTCTGTAAACCTCTCAATTAAGGTCAGAGAGACATCAAGACAGGAGGACAGACCCATGGGCTGGGAATTTCAAGTGTTTTAAAGTATCTGCTTTGCATTTGTTTGAAGGAGAGACAGAGTGAGGGCCAGAAAAATAGGATGGACAGAGAAGGGTAGGCAGAGTGTAGCGCCTCCAAACAGCCATGCTCCTCCGACTTTGGTAGGAACATGTGGGTGCAGATAGTTTTGGGGCCCGGGTTTTCAGATGTTTGGTTTATTATACATGTACTGCTTCCTAAGATGTTAACTTCCCAAGGATGCCCCTGTGTCCTGCTGGCCATCCTGGCCACTTCTCCTTTCTTGATGACCCTTGTCCCACTTTTCAGAAGAAAGGAGCACCTCCCTTCTATAATGAGCCTTACCCTTTGCCTGGATCCCAGTATGAAAACCTCTCAGGTGACAGAACCTTTTAAAATGGAGATGTTAGAGGCTAAGCTGAGTTCAGTAAAGCACCACCCCCCAATCACCAAAGCCAAATCCTTCTCTTTAAGAGATGAATCTCTTCAGTGTATCCAAAAAGTTATGTTCAGCAGTTGTAAGAATATTTATTTTTAACACTTACAGAGAGAGATGTATGTCACATGAAATTTTAAAAGCTTTTAAATTTCAACTTATAGCTAAGTATGAGAGAGTGCTTTATAAAGACTTTAAAGCAAAAAAAAAAAATTCTAGGATAAAATTCCTTGAATGAAAATATGATTTCAGTGAGGGGGAAAAATTTAACTATTAATTAAGAGCATATTTATGTATTTTTCAAATGGATGGTGATGGATTTCATATCACTACAATATGAAAAATCCTTTGAATGGCTTTAAAAGTATGACTTTATTTTTGTGTTGATACTTATCATATGCTAGAAAATATATTTCACATCTGTTAATTTATGATGAAAATTTAGGTGTTCAGTCAGAATGGTGGTTATCAAGAATACACACAGTATTAAATGTTGGAGAGGATGTGGAGAGAAAGGAACATTTTTACACTGTTACTGGGATTGTAAATTAATACAACCACTATGGAAATCAATATGTGATTCCTCAAAAGGCTGGGCATGGAACCACCATATATGATCCAGCCATACCACTTCTTGGTATTATTCTGAAGAATTAAAGTCATCATATTATAGTAATACATGCATACCCATGTGTATAGCAGCACAATTCAAAATAGTCAAACTATGTAATCAACCTCAGAGTCCATCAACAGATGAATGAATGGAGAAAATGGAGTACATATATAAAATGGTATTTTATTCAGACATAAATTAAAAAATGAAATTATGGCACTTTCAGGAAAAATGGATGGAACTAGAGACCATTAGGTAAAGAATAAGCCAAACTCAAAAGATCAAGTGTTGTATGTGGGAGATGGAGAGGTAAAAGGCCAAGAAAGGTTATGGGGTGAGAGCATGGGTCTCATGGAAATCAAAGGGAGATCAGTGGATGAAAGGAATCAGGGAATGGGAGAAGGGCAAGGTGGAGGGTAGTTTAGGGAGTGATATGGCCAAGTTATAATACCATTATTATGTGCAACTATAATGTACCAATA